CGAGCGGTCTAGTAAACGGTTGTGCCTTCCCCTCTCCGGTCTTCTATATTTTCGCGGGAACGCAGGGTAACGTATTGGGCCTAGATAATCGCATTGGCCCCGGCATGGTTCAAGACAACATGCCGGGGCCCTTAACACAGTATTATCTGATTGGCTACAATAGAAGGCACCAATGACATTGACTTATCCCCATCTCGACCTCCTATTAGTGCCCAGTAAGTTTTAATTTCAAAGACCTAGAAAATAATCCCGATTTAAAGTACGCAAACATTGCAATCAGTGGCGTTGGTTGCATTTAAACAAACAACTTTTAAGAATTCAAACAAGAGTCGTTTGGGCCTTACCTTTTTAATTTTCCGCAGTTGGTCCGATTCTTCAACCAGCGGTGTCTTAGTGGGTTTCGCGGGGGACAGGGCGTTTAACTATGCAAAAAGAAAACAAGCGCATAACGGTGTGTGTCGAGTTGGTGTCAGTTGAAGCGAACCGGGCTCTGCTCACCTCATTTTTGAGTTTGACAATTTCTGCCTCGAGTTCGTCAGTTTGTTGGAGGTACTGCAGTTTGGCTTTGCGCTCCGCTTCGAGTATTTGCAGAAGATAGGCTTGATTCTCTCGCAATTCTTGTCTAGACTTGATCACACTGCAATACCTTTGAAGAGGAGTATTTAGATTGACTGTGAAATTGCCAGTAGCCCATCCAGCTGTGTTATACAATTTTGGTGATTGAAAAAAAATCAACTTTTCTGAAAAAGATGCCATTGTAACAACAGGCTTCGTGTCATGTAACAGTGTTGGGTTACCGCATATTCCCCTGGGGGTCTGTGGCGCTAGTTTGAGATGCGGAGTGGGGAACAGGGGCGAGCGCGACACGCGTCTACCAATTTTTAAATTAATAATGCACATCGTTTTGTTTTAATGCACTCAAAGAACATACCTCGCGCTTTGAATTGCAGCCACCCAATCGTCGCACTCGTCCTCACTGTCCGCACGCAGCTCGTAGAACTTTTTTCGTTTCGGCATGTAGCACAGCGTAAAACAGTGCTGAAATTTGAAAACAAAGATGACCTTTTTGCTGTTTTTTTTCCAACTCTCAGTCTGCAAGATTTTGGTCCCCTCCTTATTGCCACGGGTAAATGACCAATTTAGCCGCCCTGATTGGATGCATTTTGACCTTGTGAGTTAAACAAAAATCTCTGACCGTTCAAATTTCCAGTAGCATGATTTGGATTCCAAGGTAAACTTTGAGCGACAATCACGATTGGTCGATGCCTGTCGTAGTTAATATCGGAGTTGCTTGGACATGCGCATCTTGGAAAAGATAAAATTGCTCATTGACATCTTTGTTTTAATGTACCGTTAATCTTTTTTGAATTTGTCGCAGTGTTAGGTTTATCCATCAATCGATCGTTGTCATGGTCAATCAGTGCGTTAGTGGTTTAAAGTTGACCTTCAGAAGGTCGCCAACATGAAGGATATGACGAAGTGATCATCAACTATTAATCAATAGTACTTACAAATGAGTATCATGGTGGGGTTTTCGGTGGTTACCGCATTACGACAGTTTTGTCAACACAAACGGTCCATTTTATCTGACCCCCTGCATTTATTAGATGCTGTTGAGTGAGTTACCCTGAAAACACCTTCAAGAACACTTTTTGTTTAAATGAATGCCCCGGAATCACGTTTAGTCTTTTTTAAGAAGCCCGCTATTAGCACTCAATGAGCTAAATTTAAGCTTAACTGACTAATTGTGTGAAGTATTATTAGAATAAGGCGCGTGCAATTAAAGTTATAGACAATGTCGCGCATTAATTTGGTCCAGAAATAATAAATCACCGTTGCAAAGGCAAAAAATAGGCCTGGCTATTGGTCATAATTTAGCCAATGAACGCACGTCATGCTGTGGAGCCACTCGAGTATCACGAGATGTTCGCAAAACGAGCGTCTTTTCGCAGTAGGAGCCTTCAAGGAGAGCCATTCCACACGGACTCTTGTCCAACTTGTCGGATTCAAATTGGAAAAGCAGATTCTGGTACAGGATGAAGTATCTAAAACAGCACGGATCTACTTAAATAAGTCCTAGTAGTATACACAAATCCACAGAAGCAAGTTAATCGGGAAGCCAAAATTAGCTCTCATCTTTTCTCAAAACATTTTACAGCCTAACACGTTAAATTAAACTCAATCAAGTTTCGTACCGCTGAATTTAAGTATTCTGCAATTTGACCAATCAAATCCTTTTCTTTATTTGCCTTTTAATTGATGCAACTTCTATCATTTTTCTTGTCTAAAATGACAAAAGCCATTCCTTTTTGGGGAACACTTGTATCAATATTTTGTTCTTTTTGCATTTTCCTCAAAATCCTAGAGCCATCAGCTACAATTTGTTGTCTCTAATCTGATTTAAACAAAGTTCAAATTGAAAAATACGCTTTTAGAGATTTAAACAAAACAATAAAAGGATCAAAATTCACTAAAAAAGCAATTTTGTAAATTTGTCAAAAATTGGATTAAAAGATGTCCTTGTTTGTAAATACAAGTGACACGTCTGATCACGCAAAACGCGTTCAAAACATGATGACAGGTGTAAAGTCAAACGTTCGCTTGAGTCTTTCAAGAACACACAGTGAGTTGCAGACGAAAAATGATTTTTTTGGCCTTAATCTTTGTGCTGATGTTGTACACTAGAAATACAAAAAAAATTGAGGTGAAAATCTAGTTGTCCTCAATCAATATGCTGTTAGATTTAAACAAATCAATTTCTTCATCATGTGAGCTAAATATTTTGGTAAAATGTTTTCGAAATTGACCAAGTTATTAATGCAGAAGGACAGTGTTGCTTGATCTCCTGATTTCCGCCCAGACCAAGCAGATTTACAAAGATGACTAGATATCGATTTTCACTGAATTGGTTGCTTATCTCTGTAATCTTATTGGCCCACTCAAGGTCGCCTAATACAAAAGCACAATTCAGTGCAAAAGTCCGTCTTCTTAGACACCAGTCTTTTGCATACACACTTTATGAACTCGACCCGCCCTGTTTTCATAGTACCTTGACCTCTCGAACAGCACCTGACACCCAGGCAGCGTCTGGCCAATCACATAACACCCTATCGATTAGTCCAACTTGCCCAACGTACCGCTGTCGCCACTTGCCAGACACTGAATTCTTCTTCCAAAGGTACCCAGACATGGTCGCCTGGCTGTCCTGCTTCGCCTTCGTGGCCAGATAATTGAACTGAGCTTGAACGAACCGCAGAGAGACCGGCATTGGCTTGACAAGGTCTTAGATTACCAACTAAAATGCAGGCATACTTAAATTAGACCAGTAGTATAGTGAGCACAAATAATACAAAGACACTTGTCATATTTTCCCTCAGTGAGATTGAAAAAGAGCACCTTCATTATTTCCAGTTGAGTTGGTTGTAAGTGGTTAATCAGCCACCCTCTGTTGCCTCTTATCAGCAACCAGAATATATACTACTTATTTCGAAGCAGTACTAACTGCAAAATAAATCTATATTACCGGACGAGGTGGAAACGCCAGCCTATAGAGGCTTTAGTAAATGAATCTGATGTTGAAGGTGTATAGATAAGGCTATTGGTTCAAGTCCCCAATCATCAGCTTCACTTCCGTCCAAAACAAAGTTAGCGCGATTTCGCGTAGCCAATCACGTTGCTAGACAGGAACAGCTCTAATGTAAATAAATGGGCAAACATTCAGACCAAACAAGCATTCAAGTGACAAATTTAAAATGGTTTGATCCATGAAATATTCCGATTAAATGAAACCATATATATTTGAAACAAAACATTAAACTTAAAATAGCTGAATTGTGGTTTTTTAAACCAAAATAATCAGGTTTTTAGATTGCAATTTAACATTTTTACCCCAATTATCTGTGTCTCCACGCTGATTGGTCAGACACGTGGATTTGAATTGCGCACTTTTGTGCTCGGTCGGTAAGCAAGCTGATGAAGATCTTTGTAAATGGATCGGAACCAGGAAGGCAGACAAAGGAAGTTTTGAGTATAGAGGAGATTTGGAAAGCGACTTTTTAACTGTTTTGTGGATTGCTAAAAGTTCATTTTTGGCGGGTAGTTAAAAGTTAAACACTGTGTCCAATCAATTTGCCCCGTTCAATTAACCAACAGACGCAAAACGTTGCGGTGCCGCAAAGATTAACCAATTATTGTCAGCAAAATGAGCCAGCTTTTGATGTGTAATTGGGAAACCAGAATTATTTCTGAGTTTTCATTGATTTTAGTAAATTAATTGTTTTTTCTGACGCCTCCCATGTATCAACAAACCTACTGTTGGCTACGTTAATACGTTTGACCGGCAAAATTGCGGCAAATTCTTAAAAAAAGGCCTAACCTAGTTTGTCCAATTCAAAACGCATCTCAAATTGTCAGTACTATTCATTCAAACACTCTGGGATGATCCATTGGGATTCTGTCAAATTTTTAAAAGCCTACTTTCATCTTAATGCCTGGAAGTCAAGAGTAGATTGGTTTTCACAGGTACTTGTACAACATCATTTTCTGAACTCTAGTTGATTATCTCATATGGTGATTGCAGTGTACCGTGGAAGTCTCCGTGGAACAAATTGGTAATCTTCTGGTAGATTCAAATTACCCTTATCAGAAGAATTAAGACCAAATTTGAGACTACCATCAAAGCAATCCTTTGGTTAGTTTGCTACAGACGGTAAATCGGCATAAGCCAATACGGTGACCTTGAAAGAAGAAGCATTATCAGGAGTCTAGTGAATTTAAATGCATCAGTGTATAGCAACGATAAGTTAAAAAATAATCCGACGAAATACAGTAAAACTGCAAACTTTAAAACACGCTTTCAATGAGAATTCTCGCATAGGCTTACAATGTGGTGTGTTTTGAAGTAGTCTTGCAAAACTTTCAGGTTTAATTAGACTGTGGTCAGCTTGTTTTAAAATCCATTTTTAAAATTTGCGATAAAATTGTCCAAAAAGCATAGGTTCTAAACAGCGCGAAAACACCTTGCTATCCGAGTAATTGCAGTGTGTGTCAGTTTGCTATAAATCAGGGAAAGGTTCACTTACAAAGAAAACTCAGCGACAGGTGCAGGAACTGTCTAATTGAGGCATAGAAAGGTAAATAGACTAATCCCTCCCCCCTTAACAGCAAATCCCATGAGTTACGTGCCGACAGAGGGACGGCTTTAGGACAGGTTGAATTGGCCAATCACGTGTCTCCACATGGTAGAAATTTGATTGGTTGGCTGGGTTTCGAAGTGAGCCAACCATTTGGGGGCTGCAAAGGAAGCAAATTTACACAAACCCCTATGTAGTACCCCTTGGCTTGGAATTTCTTGAGAAAAAGACTCCATCTCCTTCACGTCAGTGAATTTGTTTGCTTTGGATATTTTTAAAAGTGAAATCACAAAAAAATGCATTGTGCGGATTATTAAAATTTTCCGCAAAGTTAAAACAAAGGCGATAAGAACGCAAGCAGTTAAAGCTGGGTTGTTAACATTTTACTTGACTACAAAGTCTAATTTTTAAGATTACCTGGAAACAGTCAGTTCCCAAGGTTGTGGAAGGGTACTGTGATGGGAATTTAAATAGCCTGGGAAAATTGCAGGAGACATTAAAGTCTGAGAACCGCATTTTTCAAATTTTTAAGTGCGCGACCAGCAAAGGTGTGCTGTTTTCTTTTCGAAGTCTCAAACATTGTACCAGTCTTGATGGGAATTAACTTTGAGTCAATTTAAAATATTTAATACAAAAACCTCAGCATTTTAGCGAAAAGCAAAAATAATCGCAGCATTTCTGCTCCTTTGTGATAGTGAACAGTCAATAAATTTTGGCGAAATTTAAACAAGAGAATGCTTTTGAGATGAGGACGCGAAAGATTGATTTTGTTGACACCGTAAATGCAAAGACGAAGTTCTGGTTTCGACTTTGAACTCAAATGTCCTGATAATGCTTTCAAAAAAAAACAATTTTCGTTAATTTAATTGTTTGATTTTTAAGTATTTTGAAGACCTAGTAGAAATAGGAAAGAGCAACTATATTCATCTTATAACTTCATGTCAACCCTGGCGATCCTCAGAAGTGAAATGTCGATAGGCCGTTTTAACAATAAAATGCGGAATTCGAATGACCCGGTTCTTGAATTTTTATACCAAATGCGCTGATATATTTATGACTACCAACGACTGTAAATACAAATTACAGAAATCGAATAATTTAACGCCATGACTACAAAGTACTAACCATATTTCCTTCTTGAATCAATAAATCGGTAACAGTAAGGAGACTCGAGGTGAAATCTGTAAGATCATCGTTACTCAGACAAATTATAGTAGGCAGATTTTATGATCTACCTACTAAAGTTCTGGCGCTTGAAGTGTGGCGTCTTAATCTAGGATTTTTATACGGCTATCATTAAATGGAGAAATGTCCATCAAGTTAGATCTCTGAAAGACAAAACAAACATTTGCAATGTAAATTGTGGGTTTTTCAGTTACTATGGTAAAGATTTTAAAATAGGTAAATTCTACGACATCAAAAGATTAACAAGGTAACACTAGTTCATCTTTTGACGGCCGACACAAATTCGTACCGCAAGTACAATAGCTTTAAGACGAGAGAAAAGAGAATAAGACCATTCCATTAAAATAATATTGGTATTTTTAAAAAGAGCTGAACATTGTATCTAAATAGGCATTTAATGGTGTTGAGATTTACTAAAGTTCACAATCATAATTTTAAAATTCAAATTATACTTTTGAGACATGAGGAAAAATTTAAAAACTTTGTTTTGTGCTACTAAAAACATGCATGTTATAGCTCACATTAATGGGCAAAAAAAACTTAATTGACGGTGTGCCAACATGATCAAATCTTTTAACGTTTGAAGAAGCAAAATCATGAATGAGATCAAATAAAGTCAAAAAAAATTTGAAGCTCATTTATTCCAAAATCCTTGCGGTGTAATTCGATTAATGCGACCATTAATGTTCAAAAGGCGTCGAGGTAATACCCGAACCATCGCTGAATATAAACTACCTGTTGACACTACTGTTAAAATTTACAGACACAAAGTACAGATAATTAAATTAATTATGCTTTCGTTACCTTTCTTAATTCATGTAGGCTACAATGTCGACGCACATAGACAGATTTCATCAATTCCAGTAAGAGAAATTCCACAGGTAATAGTCACTACATAATGTAGTGTAATGAAACGTAATTAGGCTTTAACAAGTCTTACAGGTTTCCATGCAAGTGATCAACTTAAAATGTATTCTGAAATTACCGAACGTCACGAATTTTTAGAATGCAGTCTTTTTTTCAATAGCTCAAATGCCATTTTTATAAGAACTTCTGCTTTAAAAAACAGTAATATTACGAACTGCGACTAATACAGTGTAAACTTCGCATTATAAGAACATACTGATTTTAATTGACTCATTTAAGTGGCGCAATTTTTGGCTCTCTTCTTCTTCTACTCGACCCATTTATTCTAATTGTCTCTGATGTCAGGCAATGCTCTTAAACGTTTAATGGCCGAGTATAGACGTAAGCTTTCTTTGGGCTTGTTTTACCGGCTCAGAACGTTTTTTCTTTAAGTTAAAATTTTGAACAATGCTGGCTTACTACTTTGCCCTGCCTCGGTAAGCTTTATTATTCGAATCGGCTGGCGTGCGAGTTTATTTGTCTGTACCATTTTTGTGTCAAAATTGATTTTCAAACACCCTCGATTATTGTTTCCATAGTAATCGTTTCATTTTGTAGAACTAACAGATAATCCTCCTGAAGGCATTGTCGCAGGCCCAGTTGATGAATCTAATTTCTTCGAATGGGAAGCTCTAATTGCGTAGGTTTTCCTGTACTATTTTTAATCATTTTCTGTATCCTTGTCTTTTGCAATGTCACACATTTCTGTTTTTACATTTAAAGCACCCATGTTTTTTCTGGTCGATGTCCCCGTTTCTCTCACCTTCGATTAAAAGCCCGGTTTTGTTTGAAATAAGTAAAGATTAAAAAATTGTAGAACTTAATCCAGTTCCTCACTGTTTTCGTTTCCTTTGCAAAGAGGTCCTGATGGAACACCATTCGAGGGTGGCGTTTTCGCTTCGCGTCTAACGTTTCCACTCGATTATCCGCTGTCTCCACCGAAAATGCGTTTCACCAGTAACATCTTTCATCCTAACAGTAAGCCCCAGTTTGTAACAGTCTTTGTTATATGCTAGAGGTGGTAAAAGACTAGTCAGATTCTGCGAAAGTAGCATTAAACTTTTAGACACTTCGTGTCACTTACTCCTTGACTAATGTCTTGCGTTCTTTTACTGGCACGACTGACATTCTGGAGAATGGCAAGCTAATGCATTCGTAAATGAAATTTCTACACATGCTTTCGCTGGATCGCTGTTATTGTCTCAAAACTAGTTTCTGGATGTTTCAGGCCACTTGTTGGACAAAAACTCTTCCCATCGCCTAATTTCCCCTCTCTTTGCAGTTTACCCGGATGGACGTGTTTGCATTTCTATTCTTCACACCCCGGGAAACGACCCGTTGGGATACGAGACCCCGGCTGAGAGGTGGAGCCCCGTTCAGTCGGTGGAGAAGATACTACTGTCAGTAGTTAGTATGCTTGCAGGTAAAATTACCCATCACTAACCTCACGAAAGTACAAATTCACAAAATTACTAACTTTTTGCACGAAACGTGACGATCGTGCTGTTTCAAAGTCTCCTAACCATGCGCGTTACGTGACTTACTCCAAAGTTACGCGTTTATTTAAGCAGCTAGGATGTGGTTAAATCCGTAACTTCGATTTGTGCTTCAGTGTTTGCTGTCGATTTAATGTTGTGGCGCTAAATCGGGAGCTTTAGGTTCTTCTGCTAAGTGAAAAACACTTGCTTTAGGCCTTGCTTAACTTCTAAATGGCCGTTTGCCCTAAAATACGATTAGTTTTTGTCTGTGAATTGGCCTATCTATGTGTAGCTTGTGCGGATTCATCAAAAATCAGCCCCATGATCGTTTTCGAGTAATATATGCAATGATCCATTAATCATTGGCAGTCAGGAGTCGATTAAAAAGGGGACGATGCAATTGCATCGGAGATGGGCATCGCGAAAGTGGTTTGCCGCCTTGGGGTCATTATAGCTTCTTTGTGACCTTTGACCTAGCACGATGGTGACGATCTGATTAATTAATATCTTTGATTTGGACATCATCACTATATTGGTCAACTGCGAATAAAGAGCGACACTCTAAACGCCACTCGCTTCTGCGCGATTCCCAACAATGTTCCGGCCCTTAGACATTCTTGAAAAGTCGAGAGGTTTGCTATGGTGGAGGTTAATTGCTGTTACGTTTTCCCTTTAGAACCCAACGACGAGAGCGCGGCAAACGTCGACGCCGCGAAGACGTGGAGGGAAAACCGGAAGCTGTTCAACGAGATGGCCAATCGCAGTGTCCGCCTTAGCCTCGGTTTCCCCGCAGACGGGAACGTTAATTGACGCCGCCTCATGACTTTGCCTTCTTATCATTACTTAACTTGACTCATACAATTATGCCTCAGCTAGTATTCCGTCTGTGTACTGCGACATTTCATACCGGTGGTTGGAGACGGGTTAACGTTTCGAACTTAGAGGCTTGGAAGTGTTTTTAGTGGTGGCGGCGATGGTGGTCAGGACATTGGGCCAACAGACGGCGGGGTGTCCAATGTTAGACCACAAGCAAGGAGGTCGGTGGAGTAGGTGGTCGGGTACTCTGATTGGTCAGTTTAAGTGACTACGGAACGGCACCAGACTCCACGCGCCACTAGTTTGTCACTAGACACTTAGTCCACAAAAGTGCTACACTGTACTTTCATGAACTATTACGCCTCGACTGGTTGTAAGGTGTCGTCGGCCGGCGATCAGGCTTTGTGGTGATCCCTGCATTGATTTTAGGCAACAAATTAGATAGAAATATGTATATAGTTGCAAATAAAGACTGGGCGAAAAAAACAAGCAGCCAAACACAGTGAGTGGGAGGGAGGGAATTATTTGTCAAAATCATCGTCCTCGTCTCCCCAGTCATCATCGATAACGGCACCGCTCTTCTGGGTGGGTGGCGGTGGTGCCGACGGTGCGACACCAGACGCTCCGAAAGACTCCACGCCGATATTGAACGCAGCCAGCTGCTGTTCCAGCTCGGCGTCGAAGTCGTCCATCGAAGGTGCGGGAGGTGGAGCAGCGTGAAGAACACCGGACGTGGTGTGTTGAACCGGGGGCGGTGTTTCGAAGTCGGCAAGCTGTGAAAACGGATCAAACGCCTGTTCCATCGACGACGGCGGTGGAGTAGGTAGCTTGCACTTAAACGGTTTCGGGTCGCTTTCGCCCAGATCGTGGAAGGACACTTCCTCGTCGTCCTCATCTTCCACCCCCTCCTCCTCCGCCTCCTCCACTGCAACCTTGTGCGGCGCCTGATTTTGCATTTGTGTCGACACCTTCAAGAGATCGGCTACAGGATCTGCGGGTGGTTTTGCTGGTTCTTCGTACTCACTGTCACCAAAGAGAATACTGTCTACTGGGGGTCGAGGGTCCGGTGCAGCTCCACCGGAAGACAACATTTCCTGGGCGACGTCACGTTCCCAAACTGGCGTCTGCTGGGGATACACAGACGCTGGAAGGTTACGACGCACCTGCCTGTCGTGCACCAACCAACGCTCCGCTTCCAGCGACTCCTGCAAGGCAAACATTTGAGACACGGATGTCAATTTGACCTTGGAGGTAATAACCACTACCACCAACACCCTTCCAATCATGAGGACCGACTTCTAGGGGTCACCTCAAGAAACTGCAAGACACTGGTTATGTTGGAAAGCTAATTCTAGGGAGCCAGCGTGTATCCGAATGCTCACCTTCCATCCGGGGAAGAGGTTTGCGTATTCCGCGGGGTTAGCCAACGCCTCAGCGGCCTTGGGAGACTTGTGCTCGGTCACAAGCCACTTCTTCCACATCTCAACCGCCTCTGGTACCTTGCTGGGCAGGTATGTTCGAGCAAAGAGAGCCGCTTCAGGGTAGAGAGCTGACTTGACGAGGAGCTGAAGTAGGCAAGAGCACAGTGACATCACAGGGGCCAGTTATAACGCTCTAAGCGTGTAAAGAGTGAAGAGTATAACTAACGCTATAGCAACCCTCCAGATCGCCAAGGATGAAACGAGAGAGGAAGCAGAGATTATCGATGCCATCTTTGACGGTTTCCTCGGCAAGCTGCTCAACCATTTTGTCGTCGCCACGGCTAGACGCAATTACAAGGAAGCTTGGGTAATCGCGGGTCTTTGCGAAGCACTCCTGAGCTAACGCGAAGTTGCACTCCTTCAGAGCGACATCAGCGATCTAGCGGAGGGGGGAGAGAGGGGAAATTGAGAAAATAGGCGACTACTAGTAGCGTGGTGGACCTAGCCAGACACCTGGACTAACCTGCTTCCACTTCGCCTCATTCCCTTCCACGTCGTCGTCGTCCTTGATCAAGTCGTGGGCGGTTGTCACGTCACCCAGTTGGATGGCGAGGTCGAATTTGTGATCGGGATCGGTCGTCACACGCATGGCCTGCTGCCGGAATCCCTGGTGTTCGAGGAAACGAGCGATTTTGGTGCGATACGAGGCGGGAATGCTGGGGAGGATGGAGTCGGCTGCTGTGAAGTCCCCACGAAGGACTGCAGTCTCGTATTCGAGAACAGAGAGCAGCAGTGTGTAACTGATTACCTGTGACATAACCACACACAAAAACATCAATAATTGTCCATGCAGTGCTGAAATGTCTGAACAAGGCACACGTCACCGCGCTTCACTGCCTACCTTGAGGTCGCGATCAGCCAAGAAGACGCGATTTTCGCTGGCCAGGTAACCGAGAAGGTACATTTGTTGGTCCAAATGAGCCACCGTGACTAATTCACCACCCACGTAGTACAGCAGCCGGTTAGTGGAATTGGTGAAAAGGAAGGCGTCGCCAAACCAACAACCTGTCTTCACCACCTCCTTCACCTCGCCGTCTTGAATTAGCTGGGAGGAAAAAATAGAACAACCGATGTGGTGGATGCTTCGCGTCTTCCACCCCTGTCACCGCATACACACACACGCACGCACACGCACACACACACACACATGGACACATCAACTGACTGGCTCGCAAACCGAGGCAATGCACTTCGAACCCACCTCGAACGCGGCTTCGACGCCGTCGGGGTCGGCGTTCAACGTGCCGTTCGCCTCAGCCTCGGCGATGAACTCGGGCCGGTAGCGGAGGATGTAGAAGCATTCCTTGGTGCAGATGGCCACCAGATGGCCGCTTTCCGCCCAGTAGACGGACTTGGGGTGGACGTCGATTCGACGCAGCAGATTGCCCGTCTGCCAGTCGTAGAACGTGAAGCCGGCGACGGAGCGAATTCCCAGTAAGTGGCCACCAAAAATCTGATCCGCTCCAAAGTCCATGGTGAATGACTTCATTTCTTTGAAATTTTTGAAAATCTGACGGGGAGAACGTGGAAATTTTGAAGTTAGGAACGAGAATACCACAGACGCGAACTGTGAAGTGCCACCGCCAACTTGCCTTAAACGTGGTATTGTTTTCGAGGACAGCATACATGTTGGGGTCGGAGAGAGACCAGGCAAATTCCAGGGCCTGACCGAACATCCGATTACGCAGGGCCATTGCAGTGTAGACTATGTACTCACCGTCGCCACAAACAGCGACAAATCGACCGTTTGCGTTGTGTGCCAGGGTCTGGGGATAGATCTCGCAAGCGCCCATGTCCTTGTAGACAACGGGCAGGCGAGCTCCGTCCTATAAACCGACAATAATGACTGACTGAGATTGGGACTCCACTGCGTCGTCGTTTTAACATAGTTGCTGTTTTAAATGCAATATTGTAAAGGGTTGGCCTTTCGACCAAGTTAAAGGCATGTAGGGGAAACAAAAGCAACTCAAACAGCGTTATAATCTACCAACGATGACTGTAGCAAACCAATCAGTATTGACACCACAAGCAAACGCCATAAATGAACTTGCCTCGAAGTTCTCCGCAGCACTCGAGTCAGCAGCTACGTTGAGATTCGCGAGCACCGAACGGATGTTGGCCTGGACCAGTTCGGCGTGTCGAGCGCAGACCAATTTCCCAGAGGAATCCATCGACATGGCGGGATCCTCGCGACCCAGAGAGATGACAATCGTACCCTCGTCGTAGCCTATGCCAACTTGTTGGCTTCCCTTGTGACAGGCCACCGTCCAAACGCGCTCCAGACCATAGTTTAGCGTGGACTCCAGGCGGTAGGTGTTGGAATGCCACAGGCGGACTGTACCGTCTTCCGAACCGGTCAGGATCACAGGCAACTCGGGATGGAATGCCAAGGAGCTGATGTGGGAAAAAGCGGCTCATTAATCGCCGGCTCGAAGTAACCGCGAGATTAGCAGAACGCGAATCATCGAGAAGCAAGCCAATCCGATTATAATGGAACATCGTTTTAATAGCAAAAAAAGTTGACGGTTGCTCACACCGGGGTCGGATATTTACTAATCACACGAGCGACTGTATGTATTGTAAAATGCAAACGTACCTAACATTTTGGATGTGTCCCTCGAGAACTTGGACACAAAGTTTAGTCTGATAGTCCCAAATTCTCACTGTAGTGTCATCCGACCCGCTAGCAAGGTAGGGTTTATCGGCGCTCGGGTGATAGTCAACACAATTGACACCTTTTTCATGACCTTCAAGGGTAAAATTAGGTTGAGGCGAGCCAAGAGACCAGACTTTGATTGTCTTGTCCAAAGAAGCGCTTGCAAATGTATTGTTGTCCTTGGGGTTAATGACCAGCTGCATCACGTAATGCGTATGACCCTCAAAGACCTAAAATTATTAGTCCAAGATGTGAATTTTCCTTTAAGCACGATGTAAAGGATATTAGAAATGAAAGACTATTTTGGTTAGAGGTTGGGATGTCAAAAAGCGAGAATAGGATCGGGGAAGACATATGTACAGTAATAGGAAAGAACATCAAATAAAGCCCCAGTATATATAAACGCTGTACTGACCTGAGCGCAAGTCCAGTTTTTCTCCCAATCCCACAGTCGGATAGCCATGTCATCTGAGCTAGTGAGAATGAATGGCTGGGTTGGATGCACGACAATTGACCGAATATAATCAGAATGTGCCTCAAATTGATGCACACGTTCCAGAGTATTATAGTTAAAGATATTCAGCTATAAAAAAAAAACAAAAAAATCAGGTCAAACCGAGGGTGCCATTTGACGAGGTAAAACATGGGTGCGCCTTTAGATGACTTACGAGCATATTGTCCGATCCCGTGACAATCCAGTTCTTGCGTGCAACAAATCGAACGGCACGTACTGGAACTATGCATACTTCAAACGTCTTAATAAGTTGCTGGGATTCGATATTCCAAACGTGGACGTTCCCGTTGTACAGAGATGCGCAAACCCAAGGCTCTGTCGGATGTAAGTCAATCGCTTTTACGCGATCAGAACGAGACGAAAGTTTCTTACGTACATCCAGACGAAGAGGCATGTTAAAAACCTTTGTAATCTGTCAGTATTTGTCTACTAAAATATACCTGTGGTAAAGAAAACTTGGGTGAATTGGAACCAAATGACGTGTAGTCCTACCAAACTCCGCTGAAACACGCGCTTCGGTACTTGCAAATTAAAAGTCAACAATTTGCAACCTTTTTCCAAAAACCTATTTATTAAAAACTGATTAAGCAAAATTTCATTAATTTCTGGTTTAAAATTAAAAGTAAATTAAAATTTCACATCAGATTGCGTATATTCTTTCATTTTTTTGGAAATTTGAATTAAAATTGTGATTCTTACAACTAAATTAGTGTCAACCTATGGTATTTTTGTCACTATTACACTTAGGCTTTTGTACTGCTGTCTGACAATCAGGACTGTCCTCTACTTCATACGAGGCATAAATCCGCGTTTAGTACTACAGGGCTGATGCTTACTTTACATTCAGTAATTTTAACACAAGGATTGGTTGTAACTTGTCGCAGTTAATGGAAAGTAGTTTTATAGTTTAATTATCTCTATTCTTTATACATTATGCTTGGCCTTCCACTTTATAATGATTAATAAGCAAAGATAAATACTGACAAGGTACGTGTCCATTATTTGATAAATGTTTACTACTCGACAAATCAAATTCCATGCTTGCATCAATCTTTTAATCTAATTAGCAGCGGAAAAAACATTTTTCATGGCCTTAAAGAGTAAAGGTGGTTTAAGATAAGCTACAGAAAAAGAATTTGATAGTCTCATCCAAGGAAATGCTTGCAGATACGCCTGCTTTGGTAGATTGACTAAAATGGAAAAGTCGAAATTGTGAGCCAACCACTTTCCTTTTCACTTTTCCTGTAACTCACTTGGTAAAACTGTTCTTGAGTCATTTTTGGTTTCCGCACTGACTTGAATCTCAATATCGCACAAGATATGCCAAAAGGATTTAAGCAAAAATATTGGTTTAGTAAGAATGAGTTTAGGGGCATTTAAGCGAAAGACTGATGTGGGGATTAAAAAGTACTAAACGGAATGAAACAGTTATTTTTTGTCACCAGTCATTTAACATTTAAATAAGCCTACCGAAAATGGGGTAAAGAGACCTCAAAGTGATCTGTCAACAATTTTAAGCGCTATTGACCATCGTCCGTTAACCAAGAGGATGAGCTCTTCTAATTTCTTCTTCCAAATTAGATAGATGAAGGATCTTTATTAAATAAAGCGTGCATTCTGTGCAACATGTGACTTTATTTATCTGGCTTTGGAAAACGTATTCATCACAACTCATTTAACTAACTGATGACTACACGTCTGTGCTTATCACCTGGCATTCACGAAATTGCGCTTCTGATATTTTGAAGAAGAATGATAGAATGACCGAAAAGATCAGTTGTAGCTCTCTAACAACCATATGCAATCAGACACAACAAGCAATGTTCTTTTCTATCTGGTCATAGCCCAAAATGGGAGAAAATTTATAAAATTGCAATTAAGAAAGTCGCCGGAAAATATAATAAATATGATTCCAGCTATTTGTACACATAAAATTCAAGTTACTTAGAAAAAATTGCATGTTCACATTAGCAAAAACATTTACATAAATTTGAATATTAAAATTAAAAATGACAACTTTGATATTATTAATTTCTATTACTATCTTATTTCCATCATTCTAACGGACATGGCTACGAATATCATAAGGAAACACTACTAAGTGTAAATCTAATAAAAACAGTTCAATCAATCGCCGCCGGTAATGATAAATGGAACTCCTTGAGAAAGAACTTTTGCATGTTTTGGAACACAAACACTCATATGTACATGCTGTTTCTGAAAATTTTAGAAGGAAAAATCCAGTCAGCTCAAAATGCTCCTACATTTAATCAGGTCCATGACGACATTTGTACCCATGAACACAGGATAAGTCATATCCAATAGTTAAAAGATTTTCTTAGACCTAAAAACAGTGTGATCAGTGTGAAAATGCCACTGCTTCATTGACATCATAATTAATAGACATGAGTTGCTGTAATTCCAAAGTGGCGGTGTCATCAAGTTCAAGCAAGGATTTGCCAGAAGGTTCCTTGATTTACTAAATACTGTGTTAGGTGTGGTATCCATTCACAGCCACGACTTTAAACATAATTCACCTCAAGCAACTACTTGTCAAATATTTGACCAAAATCAATTTTTGCTAATTGTAGAGTTTTAACTTTGCAAATTCCAAATATTGTGTTGTTTTTAAATTAAAAAAAAATTACCATTGTGAAATAATTAGGTGGCCTTGTTTTAATATGCCAAATTGATGTTGGCGGTATAAGTGTTTTAAGTACTCGTCAGTTTTGTCGTAGCCGGTATTAGTCCAGGTGGTTTCAGGCAATGGCTGACATCGTGTTAAAGCTAAAAGCTCCTAATCAGGAAAAGTCGGTTACGGTTAAGGACAGTGGGACTGTAAAGGAAGTATGACACAATTGTCTTCATTAGTTTTTTAAGTTACGGGAAGAAGCTGCGAAGGTATTTGAGGTGACTCCACCGCGCGTCTGCTTAATCTATGCCGGGAAAATTCTTAAAGATGAACACACACTTTCCCAGCACAAGCTCCAGGATGGGTTAACGGTGCATGTTGTCATTAAGGTAATGTTTTTTTTGTTTGATTTTTTAACAAAATAGAATGAACCGCAGCCCCCCGTAAGTTGCTTCTGAAATATTATAAGTTTCTAGAAACCAGCGGGACAGGCTGCCTCAACGTCTACGCCCGGAGTAGGCTCATCGCAGCAGTCAACGAGACCAGGTGCTGACTTTGGCTCGCTTTCTGCCACTGCGGCTAGGATCCTCAGCAATTCGGATAACTCCCGTTAGTATTTTTTTTCCCAAGATATGCGAAATCCATCATTCTTTGCGTAATATTTGTCTTTTTTGCAGCAAATAGTTTTGCTGCAATGCAGCAGACGATGCAGCAGCAAGTAATGCGTAATCCAGAGTTGCTTCGGAGCATGATGGAAAGTCCGCTTGTGCAGTCGCTCATGAGTAATCCGGAAATGATGCGAGGAATCATGCAGTCTAATCCGCAAATACGCGAACTGATGGAGGCAAGTTTTTTTTTGGTTAACCAATTAGCCTCTCTTGGGCTTTTTTCGCTGTTGATTTGACTGTAAAGAGAGCAGCATACCACCACTTAAACATGCTGCAAAATCGTGATTTCCGTAATTTGAATTCAATTAACATGTTTGTCGAATCTTTGGTTTGAATCCACACTATGCATTTTCCAGCATGTGTACGCCGAATCACACTACATTAAATCTACCAATCTGCGTTCTAGCGTAACCCTGAATTAAATCAGATGCTTTCCAACCCGGATGTCTTGCGCCAGTCGATGGAGATTGCTTCGAATCCAGCCATGTTGCAGGAGATGATGCGGTCGTTTGATCGCGCTGTTCTCAACTTGGAGTCGATTCCGGGCGGGAACAGTCACCTGCAACGGATCTACGAAAACGTTCAAGAGCCCATGTTTAATGCTCTGCAGGGTGGCGACTCAAACAATCCCTTTGCCGACCTTGCGGGTATGATTTGTGTCTTTTTCATCCCTCCCTGTCTTACTAATCGACAAAGCCAAGTGATGAACAAACTGTTTTATTCGCTTTTGTGCAGGCACCACACAACGACGTATGTAAATGTCTATTTCCTTCTACTTGTTTCGTTACTCCGTTTTTGGATTCGTTTGCTAATTTGTCACACTGCGTTAATGCTTTTAATGGATCAGAAGCTTGTCGCTTCTCATCTCTCTGACCAGGCAGCATTGATTTGCGCAATACTGCATTAAGGAATCATGCTTGCGACTTTTTCATGCTGTCTAGCCTCGTTAACGAGGTAGGTCAAGCCAGATTATTATGTGTGTCCTTATTGACACCGCGCTGTTACGTGGTAGGCTTATCGTCGTATATTTTTGTGGAACGTTTTGCCTTATTTTCGCTAGGCACTACTCCTCGTCAGGCCGCTCCAACAAATGAGCCAATGCCTAACCCATGGGCACCGCAGCAGGCAGAATCTGCACCAACTGGCAGAAGTGGCGCCGACACGGCTCCTCCACCTCACCCTCCAAGCACCACGACGAATGCCCCCACAACAGCCATAGGCGGAGTACCTTTCAACCCAGATACCATGTCCACAGCCTTCCAGACACCCTACGTCCGCCAGTTGTTTGAGGCCATGTTGTCCAGCCCCGAGACGATAGAGGTGCTTTTATCGGCAAATCCGGTTTGGGGAGCTGCCAACCATGACCCCGCAACAAGGGAACAACTTAGGCGCATGCTGCCGCAACTCTCTGCACAAATGAGCCAACCTGGTTTCCTCAGTATGCTCTCCAACCCACGTGCTCTCAGAGTGAGTGTGCGGTCTCGTTTGTTTGCGCAATCACGCGAAGCAAATGACCCCTGCCTGCCTGATCCCGTCTTGTGGCGTGCTCTCTTAAACCCCCTTTGTCGGTCTGTTAGCTGTCAACTGGGGGGTGATTTCTGTTCACCGGTTGGACAGCTCGGGGTCGGCACCTGGCGTTGTTTCACACACAAAAAGAAACTTGCACAATCCTAAAGCATGTGCTTGTCGAGTCAAGTTGGAGCACGTGATGCAGTCTATGATTTGCTTTGATTGTCTTCACAACTTCACTGCAATCCCCTCGTCACGAGTGGGCGTTGCAGTCACAGTGCACGTAGGCGTGTGTGTCAATATCAAATTGGCATCTCATATGTGTTATCACACGTCATGCTTCCGCATACAAAAACCTGTCTAAGCGCGTATCGATCGCATGCATCATGAGGTGCCCAAGTCACGGCTGACGCAATTTACCCCCCAAATGCCTTTCTGATCCCCAGAAGTCGCTTGTTGAAGTTGCAGCTTGTTGGTGTTAACTTCGACCCCATTCCAACCAGCAAGCACTGGTAGCATTAAACGTTCATCGCGTCTTCAATGCCCAGCTGGCGCTGCGTTAATAGTTTGGCGCCGCCTGCGAAATGCTAAAACGTCCTCCAAAGACAGCCTTTTGTAACAACGGTGTGTTTCTCGTTTGAAATAACCTCCTATCAGTCACCCTGGCAGGTCTGAAGCTTAAGAAACTACGAAAGACGCAAGTTACCGCTAAATGTGATCTCTCACGTGACCCTGCGTGTGTGTGTGTGTGTGTGTAAAGCGTATCACGCCACTCGCATGTAGAGGCGCGTCCTCTTCAATTCTTGACTCCGTGCACACATCTGTAGTATGACTATCCCGCGCTTTTATCTCAATTGTTGCCGTTAAAGTACACTTTAAGTTTAACAGTCATCCGTGGTCCATTATCGCCTAACCTCGTTCCACAGACTCTTTCCTAGTTTGTGGTTTGTAGCAATGGCGTAATTTGGGTGTATCCATTCTGGTGCTGATCTCGCAACTGTCTTCCGACTTTTTCAGGCAATAGCTCAGATTCAGGAGGGTCTGCGCACTCTACAGACGGAGGCGCCTGATGTGTTCTCCGGCCTGACGACCATCGCTCCACCAACTGGTGGTTCTGGCGCTGCATCCGCTGCCGCCGCCCCTGCCACCACTGCAGCGCCGACCACGGGAGGCACCGACGCGACCACCACCACCACCGCCGCACCTGCCCCCGCCACCCCATCTCTCGGCAACGTGGAATTGGCCTCTCTGATGGCAAGTCTGCTGAATGTCGCCGCCAGCACCAGTGGCACACAGGCTGTGAGTTGTAGACCCTTCTCTCTCTCTCGCTCTACCTCTTGACTTGCGCACATTTCTTAATTCTGCGCCTTCTTATTGTTGATGCAGCAGGCGGGAGGTGGAGGCGGGTCTGTACCGAGTCCAGCTCCTCAAGTCCCGCCGGAGGAAAGGTACGCGTCGCAGCTGCAGATCCTCGCTAGTATGGGCTTCACGAACCGTGCCGCCAATCTACAAGGTATTTCCCACCCCCCCTCTCTCCCTCCTCTTCCCCAGATTCGGCTCTCATCGATGTTCTCTTATTTTTGTAGCACTAATCGCCACCTTCGGCGATGTTTCCGCAGCAGTCGAACGACTACTGGGTCAGGGCAACTGAGCGTGTGGGTCAGCGCTTGCGCGTGTGTCGTTGGAGTTGATGTGTTACCTGCAGACGTTATTGATTTCAACCGATCCCCACCTCGGCAGCTGCAGCTTGATCGTCCGAGAGCTTGTACACACAATCTTGCTGTTTCGTTTTCTACTAACTCACCACCACCACTACTAGTTGCCCATTTTGTCCCCCCCTCCGCTCCACCCAACCTCTCCCGCTTCACGTTCAGGTTCCATCTATTCGTCCATGCGTGTGTGTGTGTGTGTGTGCGAGTGTGTTTACAAATGTCAGTTCTGCAGTCTCGGCTTGCTATCTCTGATTTATACGAATAAACTCTCTACCCCCGTCACGCACATCGTCCGGGATTGTGTCTTGTGAACTCGTTCACTTTAAAATCTTGTCCGATTTCTACAGTTTTGTCGCATGCACAAGACACCAATTAACTCTACCTGAGAATTCCACCAATAAGATTAACGCATAGGCATGTGGAGTTGCGCATCGCCTTCGAATCGCGCAATAGGGAAAATGTGTCGATCCTTAAGCCGCATCGATCAAGTTACCGTCTGTAGATTACTCGTCGTGACTTCTTTGTAATTTGCCTAATGCACAGAACAGCCTACTTACGAATGTCAGTAGGGTGGCATTTCGTTGACAATCGAGTATTGATCTGATAGGTGCATATTGCACTTATTGGAGAGGATGTGACGATATCGTAGGTAAAAATGAGGCAAACATTCTCCTGTAGGAGTACACGGTCAAAGTTGTGAGATCGGTTGAGGAGATGGGGGTGTAGATTCCAAGGTTAAGCTGTAAATACACGGTCTGTCTATCGGTGTTTGAGCTTTCAAGAAAATGTAGGCGTCGCATGCGTATGTCTTTTTCGAAGGACCTTGAGGTAAATTAGATCTCTGAGTGATATGTTAACCATTTTAAACGCTAATGAGCATCGTCCATTAACCATGGTGATGAGCACTTCCAGTTATTTTTTCGATATTATTTAGATGAAGGCTCTTTATAAAGTCAACTCTGCATTCTGTGCAATGTATGATTTTATTTATCTGGCCCTGGCAACCTTATTCTTCATGACAAATCATTTAATCAACTCACAAACACACATCCTGTTGACTAATTAACATGCACGAATTTGTACCTGTGCTGGTTCGAGGGAAAACCACAGGCTGAACGAAAAAGTCAGTTATACCTCGCTAACAAACGTATGCGATCAGACACAGCAACACACAGGTAATCCTTCTTTATGTCTGGTCATAGTGCAAGATGGCCGAACAATTTATTTGAAGGTATAAGATGAAGTGCTCAGAAATTCTCCAATATTCGATTCGATTCATTTTATACATAAAAAACAGAGTTACTTAGAGAAACATTACATGGTAGTATTAACAAAAAATGGAAAACTATTGGACAATGCAATTAAAAGTGGCAATTTTGCGACTAGTAATTTCTATTACTACCTCATTTCCAAATTTCCTTCGGATATGTTTTCGAGTATCGGCTTAACCACTGTTGCGTGTAAGTTTAAAAAAAAAACAACCTAATCAGTCGTCGCCAGCCATAGTAACATGGGCTGATTAAGAAAGAACTTCTCAATGCTTTGCTTCTCAAACACACGCACTCATAGTTTGTTTTTTGCAAAATTATGTGAAGGCAGCATCAAGTCAAGTCAAGAGAACTTCTTTATAAAATTGTGGCCTAGACTACATTTTCATTAATTAATAGAGAATAAGTGATGTTTTTATCCAACTAAATTGTTTTCTAACCCTAAACGAGCGTTTTGTATTGAGCCGGTGGACTGATCACAGTGAAAAAGCCACATTTTTTCAGAAGTCTTAATTAGTAAACACGAATTGTCGTATTTGAGAAATGGTGATGTCGTTGAGGTTAGGCAAGAATTGAGCAGGACGTTTCTGGATTTACGAAATAAAGTGTTAAATGTGGTTTTCATTCCCGAGTACACACAGCAAAGAATTTTGACGTGATTCATTTCAAGCATTTACTTGTCCATTTTTCCTTAATTGTTGTCTGGAACTATTTTAACCTAGGCCCAGATTTTTAACCTTATAAATCAAAATTATGTGATTAATATACTTTGTTATAAAAAACAATTACACTTGCGAAGTTATGAAATGATGTTCTTTTAATATGCCAAATTAATGTTTGGGATGAATGAGCTGAAAGTACCCGCCAGTTTAATAGTTGAAGGAATTAGTCCAGGTGTTCCAAGGTAATGGCAGACATCGTATAGAGGCTAGAAGCCTTATATGATAAAAACTAGGCTACGGTTAAGGACAGTGGGACTGTAAAAGAAGTATGAAAGAATATTCCTAATGAGCTTCTGAAGTTACTAGAAGAAGCTGAGATCGAATTTGAATGTAACAGTCATCAGTGTTCCATTATTGCCTAACCTCGTTCTACACACTCTTTCCTAGTTTGTGGTTTGTAGCAATGGCCTAATGTAGGTGTATTCGGTTTGGTGCTAGTCTTCTACTATTGGTAATTGTCTTCCAACCTTTGCAGGCAACGGCTCGAATGCAAGGGGGTCTACGCACTATACAGGGGAAAGGGGCCAAATGTATTTTTAAGCTTAACAACCATCGCTCTACCAGCTGGTAGTTCTGGCGCTGCATCCGACATCACCGCCACTGCCACTACCACAGCGTCATGCACGGGAGGCACCGTAGCGACCGCTAGCGCAGCTACCTCCGCCACCTCGTCTGTCAGCAACGTGGAATTGGTCTCTCTGATGGCGAGTCTGCTGAATGTCGCCGCCAGCACCATTACCATTGAGGCTTTGAGTTGTACACCCTTCTCCCTTTTCCAAATTCTGCGCTCATCTCATGCTGCTGCACCAGTCGGGAGGGGGAGGCTGGTCTGTGGCGAGTATTGATCCTCAAGCCCCGCCGGAGGAAAGGTACGCGGCGCAGCTCCAGATTCTCGCTAGTCTGGGCTCCACAAACCGAGAAGCCAATCTACAAGGTACCTCCCGCCCCCTTCTCTCTTCCTCCTCTTCCCCATATTTGCTTCTCATCGACGTCTTCTTTGTGTTGTAGCTTTAATCGCCACCTTCGGCGATGTTAACGCGGCAGTCGAACGACTTCTGGCTAATGGGCAACTGAACTAGGATTGGCGCTTGCGTGTGTGTCGTTGGAATTGATGCTATCTGCAGACGTCGTTATTGATTTCAACCGATCCCCACTTCGGCAGCTGCAGTTCGCTCGCCCGAAAGCTTGTACAACCAGTCTTGCTGTTTCGTTTTCTACTAACCCACTACTGCTAGTTACCTATCTTGTCCCCCCTCCACCCAACCTCTCCCGCTTCACATTTAGGTCCTATCTATTTTTCCTTGCGGGTGTGTGTGTGTGTACGAGTGTGTTTACAAATGTCAGTTCTGCAGTCTCGGCTTGCTATCTCTGATTTACACGAATAAACTCTCTATCCCCGTCACGGACATCGTTCGGGATTGTGTCTTGTGAATTGGGAAATCGCCACGCCAATTTGTTTGAAAGATGGCCTATTTGTGCTGGTAGTAGGTGGGTTTTGGTGGTTGGGTGTGGCGTTTTTGTGGGACGCGTGGTTGTCACTTGGTGACCGATATGGTGGCATTAAATGTCAGTGACTGAGGGCTGGCTTAGGCTTGCAAGCCTCATGATCACTTAGGAAGCTGCGCAGGAGGTATGCGCTGTCCTAGTGGTGCATCACATTTAAACAAACATTTTGCCCACTGCCAAGTTCCGTTGGCGTTTTGAGCAATGATGGTGGCCAGCGGAGGCTTGACGCGATCCGCTGAGAGTACTCGCGTTTGTTAATGATGCCAGGTAACCTGATTGGTGTGTGGGTGAAGGCAAAGGCTGTTCGCCTACTAGTACTTGACGCTTTCTTCACTTTGACATCTTGTCCGATTAGAACAGTTTTGTCACATGCAGAAAACACCATTCAATTCTGCCCAAATATTTATTGAGAATCCGCGATTCCCCAAGATTTCTCGTCGTTGGGATCTGGCACTATTTACATGAGTTTTACTACGCTTTTTATCCGGTCAAGGTCAACTTTGACTTGAATTAGTTTCCCTTTTGACAACCCACTCCGCACGTGGCTGACGCGATTAAAGCTCTTTATACGTGCTCTGGTCTTGTTCATGTATTAGCGTGGGAAGGTCGATGCTGGCGTCAACAGGGCATCTGGTACCATAATCTGGTACTGTTATTTGGTGACGCAGAAGATGGAACAACTACTCGAGCGGCTAGTTTCGATGCTTGCAGATCGCCAGACGCCTCAGGCCGCTCCTGTCAGCGCGCCGTCAAATGATGGTCTCACCAACAGTATCTCGACGTTCTCCTATGACCCGAAAACCCGTTCCGAGTCGACCGTAAGGTCAGACTACTTACTCGCAAACTGGGTCCAGCAGAACTGAGGAGATACACAGACACGATCCTCCCAAAGACCTCGCTCGGCTTCACTTTTTGTTCTCCCTGTATAGTTCTGAGTTCAAGTCGCGAGAGACAGACAAAGACCCCTGGTTTTCCTTTTCGACAAGAACTAGTCAGATTATCCAATGACAATGCAGACACGAACCCCGATGTATTTTTTCTTGTTGGAATGTCCACAGACACGCACGCACACACACACAGAGATAGAGAAAGAAAGGCATACGCATGCGAAGTCCACCTAAACTTGAATGCTCAAACACCTTTTGACAGACCGTGTATTTACATCTGCTGCCGGTTTGGGCTTCAGTCTGACAACCAGGGAGGTGTTTTTAGGCGCCTATCAAACTCACACCTCACCGCTGAAGCAGCAGCA